GGAAATCTGGAGATGAGAACAGAGTTCAGTAATTTCTGATATCAAAAGCGAATTATGGGAAAATTGGAAATGAAAATATCTCATTGGGTTTAGCAATTAGTTGCCTACTTAGTAACTTTGGCTAGGATAGCTTAAGTAATGGTCCGTAACCAGTGTACTTTTATATTAAGTTCTTTGCTGTGCTTTGCATGTATTGCATTGAATACTATCTATAACCTGTGAAGCAGGGATTGCTATCATTATCTTTCTTTTATAGAGGTATAAACTCAAGCTAGAGAGGTTAAATTTCTTTTCTGCACTTGCTCAGCAAAAGATGGATAATTCAGTCTCTAACCCATGTGTTTGACTCCAAGTCCTGTTCCCTTCTACATGTCAACATGCGATCTACATATTAACAGAACAAAACATTTTTTTCCCCTTGGAATGAAGAGGGCTAAACTAATTCATAGAACTCATGGAGTGAATAAGAAAAGAGAGTAGGAAGAAGTTACAGATTATATTTTCAAGGCCTGTAGCTAGAGGAGAGATGTCTTTTTGAGAGCTGTTTTGAGGTATGGAAAGCTGGTAGATATTGAACATTAAAAGAAAGCAAACAAGAAAAAAGGTGAAGTTGGAGATACAGACAATAAACAGCAACCAAAGAAGCAAGTAATCTTGAAGGTATTAGCATCCTTGGGGAAACATACCTGACATGGGTTATGTCACCACTTCCCTTGGACTTAAAACATATCCATTAGCGTAAAAGGTGTAGCTGTATTCAATTGTGGGGTAGGGAGCTGTGGTGATGGCTGGAATGCAGTGAGAAAAATGAATGCCTCAGATTGTCCCAGAGAAGGGAAAAGGGAAGATACTGAAGTAAGGCTTTAGGAAGTCAGGCTGGGGACACCCTCTGGCTTCCAGTTCAACATAGGCCCTCCTGGACTCACTCTAGGACTGGTTGCCTATCCTTCAGGACTCAAAGTCTATGTCAGCTTTGTAGGAAGCTTTTCCTGACCACCTGCTTTGGAAGAGGACATCCTCTTATTCTTAATCTAACGGCATCCCAATTTGTCCACATTTTTATTTGCGTGCTTTCCTTTGCCCCTAGCTGTACTCCAATCTCCTTGAAGGTATCTCTCTACCCTTCTCACTGCTATAATTCTTACTCAGAACATAGCTCCTAAACAAATATCCATTAAATGAAAAAAAACAAACAAACTGAATGCTATTCTGTTATTTAATAGCAAGATAATGTAACCTAATAGGCCTTTGTTTTATCATTTGTATAATGGAACAACTCATCATATTCTGTCACAGGATCTTACAAGCATAAAAGAAAGCTGATTAACATAAAAGGCTTAATTTTGGTTTTCAATGCACTCAGTAAATGAAAGGTATTATTTACTTGAGTGTAGAGGTGTTAGAGTTTGGGAGTGGTTGTTTACAAATGTAGGTTAGGATTTCAAAGAGAGCTCTTCAAAGGGATAACTGAATCCAAACTAAAATCTCCTCTTGGATTGGTAGATTGGGCCCTACTTAGAATGTTCTTTGACAATGAAGATAATGACAAGGCACACACAAGATGAAAACAGACCCCTCAAAAACATAAACGTCTGGTTCCACGGAAATGGATTAGAACCGAATTCAGACCAAGTACATTTCCTTTCAAGCTAGGGCTGTCTTCTGAACTGGCCTGCTGAGATTGAAGAGTCCTGTCAATACCTCATCTCATTATATGCTAGCCCGATGCAGCTGAATACCAAGCAATATGCCCCATTAATCAAATTTAAGACACCGAGGCTGGGAACTGGGAGCTGTAACCTGAGTCACTTGTCCCCAGGTAAATAGGAATGTGTTTTCTATAAATTGCCTTGGAGTGCCCTGAGATTTCTTTAATCTAATCATGAGAAATGATGGCCAATATCCTATTCAATGGGGCCATGTTGGCACATCTTCTTTTCGCTTCCATTGCTTTTTCTCCCCAGATAATAAAGCTCTGCAGGCTCTGGTTTAAAAAAAAATGTTATTGCTCTCACAAGAGGGAGGAAGTAAAGTTTGTTATCGTGGGCTTTTTGTGCCCCAGAAAGAACTAGAAGCTCATTACTGACTAAATGTACTAAGGAATAAGGTGAGATTTCAAAGACAATCTGAACCTGGTAAATTTTGGTCAGACTGGACTTTAAAGATCTTTAATTATGTGTGACACATGTATAAGTTGCTACATTATCCATGAAGAGTGCTCAGGGATAGCCTGAAATCCAAACTGAACTGTTTGCTAGCATTGAGACTGTACTCCATTTAGATCCAGAGAGAGTGCTAATGCCCCACATAATGTACTTTTATCACAACTACACATATGTTTATATATGGAGTATAACTACTCTTCATTCATCCTTGACTAGCTTTAGAACATCAAAGCTGTCATTATTCTATTTGTCAAGATTAGTCATATTTTCTCTTTCTTTAGTTATTAATAATGCATAAGCAGAGAGGTCTTTGGGCTTCTTTTAGATGGTTTATTTCTTTATTCTTCTTATTTCCTCAGCAGGAAAATTTATCAAAGCTACCTCTCTAATGTATTGTTCTTTGCCTTGAATGCTCTTTGTCAGATGCTTATCTTTGAGGTTTTAAGCCTTTAAAAACATCCTTTTAATCTCCCTCTATCTCTTTGCACTGTATCTGGTTACAAATGCTCCTAATATCACCCTCTCCATTTTGTTTACAGACAGCCCTTTCTCTGAAAGGGAAGAGAAAAGGTGGCTGGGACACAGTGAACATCTTCCCTGCAGTCCCGTGAAACCCACTTTGGACAGAGACATGGTCCATCAGCTTCTCAAAGACATTTTTTAGAGGAATGATTTTCCAGTCCTAACCTCAGAGCTGCAAAATCCGATTTTCTGATCCTGCTTTTATCCTGTACCCCTCCCTACGTTTCATTGACAGGAACAGCATTTCTGATTTCCATTAAATTCAACCATTGTCAGCTATGTACCTCAGCTGCTGGGGTTCCAAGTGAATAGTGGTGCTTTTTTATCATGCTGTAGTAGAGAAGGCATGCTGGTGCTGTTTCACACTACTACATTCTCTCTGCTCTTCTTCTGCCAGTCAGTCAAGATTGATATAAAGAAAAACCCACAAAGTTTGTACCTGCATTTCTGTATTATTAATTAGTTATTTGCTACTCAAAAGTTTTCTTATGCACAATTTTTTTTTTTTGCATCTATACCAAATCTTGGTCCTTGCAATCCATCCTTTCTGTCTTACAGCTACTCACATTTACTTAAACATGCTAAAGTGCTTCTCAAGATTGGCTGCCAATTGCAATCACTTGGGGAACTTAAAAAATTTCTAATGTCTAACTGCCCACCCCAGATCAATTAACTTAGAATTTCACGGAGGAGCCTCAGACATCAACATTGTGTAAAATCTTCCCAGGTGATTATAAGATGCATCTGAGGTTGAAAACCTTTGCTAACCCAGGTACTATAAGATTTCTGCCTAACTTACTATCAGGCACTGCTTGCAGAAGCCTTTTAGCTCTCTCTGAAGTTCAGCTTAGAGCTCTCAGATGCTTCCGCTAACGTTGGTGCTGACAATCTGATTATCTGAGTTAATTCACCCTCACATCCAATTCTCTCAGGGATCACACCACATAGTCACAGTCTCTCTAGAATTCTTTTGCAGAAACACAGAAATTGGGCTAAGTAATTCAATAATGTTCCTCTAATTTAATTAAGAAAGGCAGACTATTAGAGAATAGAGGAAGCAAGAGAACAAGGAGGCAATTCACCTACCTGAAAGTACAAAGGTACAATATTCACTTTAGATCCTTCACGCATCCATTAATCAGCCCAAGTCTGCACATTCAAGGCAAACAAGCACCTTGCTTTTTGGCTAACAGCAGTGCATGCTGCCCTCCTAGGCAGTGTTGGGTTCATCCTTTGCCTACTACATTGGTATACACTTAGTTAGAAGTGATGCTTACCTGCAGTTACTGTTGTGTTGTGGAACTAGATAGCTTCAGGATGCAGAAGTTCCTGTGCAAATGATATTCACCAAGAGCCTTGCTTGGAATATAAAGGAAAGCCTCACACCACAATAAACTATATGTGTTTGGTGATCAATACAGAACTCTAATTTTCTCAAGTTAATGCCTTTCAATGACAGATTCCCAATGCTAGCGGTAGACAGTTACATGCAAGATTATAAATCATGTGGGTGTCTTAGCTGTGAATTATTAATCTTTGCTCCCTCCTGCATTACATAATTGATAATGACTATATTGATAGTTCCAAGAGGGCCTCTGAGATGGATCTGTTCAGTGGATGAGAAAGCATTAGCACCAAGCAGTGCAGAAAGGGCGTGCTGTGTGTTCCAATGAGTGCATTCTATAACTTCTACTTGAATCCTTGAGGTTCTGAGGTTTTTCTCCTGAAAGGTTACTTATGATTAGAAAGTGACTATATAAAAGTGTTACCTTCTTACCATGGATATTTGTTTCAGGTGAGTCTTTAAGATATTTTTTTTTTTCTTTCTTTTTTTTGGTTTTTTTCTCCGGTACCGGGAACCGAACTCACGACCTTGCGCTTGCCAGGCAGGCGCTTTTGCCGCTGAGCTAAATCCCCAGCCCCCCTTTAAGATATTTTTGATGACTTTTACTGGAGGAAAAATACATTTCATTTCCCATATGGGTCCACAGATCCAATAAAACTACATGAGAAGGAACAGTAGTATATTCTTCCCAGCAGATCAGCATTCTTCATGGGCTTAACTTGTTCAATAGTAAACAAAAGGCAAAAGGAAGAATAAACTAGATAAGTGGGGTCATCAGATAAATTTAATATTGAAAATGCATGTCTTCCTTGGAACGGAAATTGTATTCATTTACAAGGAAACTTTTTCCCGCATGTATTTGGCTGGCTTTGTCTGACAAAGAGGATGAATGCAAATTAGCTTTGCAGTTTTATGTAGGACAAAATTCTGATCAAGAAAGGAATTCTACTTGTGTATGACTACTCTATGTCATATATAGATAGTGCATTTTTCTCTGTCCAGCTGGATCATCTTCACTGTGGCAAATGGCTTTTCATATTTTCATTATAAATATAACCAAGTTGTTAACACTTAAATTGACCATTTCAGTTCTCAGTTTTTCTTTCCATTTTATAAAGAAGGGTCCTCTATCTGCTTCACATGGAGCGGGCACACGCCTAGATTTGAAAGTGTACTGCTTAATGCAGGCCATTTTCTGTAAAGTAGAAAAAAGATACCTTCACAGAGATTGAGCATTTGACCCTCTCCCCTCCTCCACCCCTATGGAACACATGACGGACAGCTTTTTTAAAGTAACTTAACCATTGTCCTGGGAAACCATCTGACACCAGGATGCTGTAAAATCATTCTCTCTATAACCCTCTCCTTTTTCTTTTGCCACACCTGCCCTGTCATTAGGCCATATATCTTTTTCTTTTTTGGTTTTTCTCCGGTACCTGGAACCAAACTCACGACCTTGCGCTTGCCAGGCAGGCGCTTTGCCGCTGAGCTAAATTCCCAGCCCCCTAGGCCATACATCTTGATGTTACATGGCAGGGCCATGAGTAGAACCATTGGTCAACCAAGCTTTATATATGGCTTCGGTGTAGTGTTAAGAAAGTCACCTTACATTAAGGAATATTCTTGCTGTCTATGAGAGCAGTGATAGTGATGCATAGTCTGATTTATCAGTCATTAAGAAAGGACTTTGGAAGATATAAAGTTTAATACAAATTAATGATGTCATATATATGTGTGTATTGTATCTATATTAGTTATTATTTTTGGAGATTGATATCTTGCAATGCAACACTAAGCATATACTTTGCAACTGAGCTACTCCCATCAGCATCAATAATTTTGAAGTCCACGTGGTCCCAGATGAATATACAACCTCATATTCTTTGTGTCTCCATTCTCAAATTGATTTTAAATGATTTTTATTTACTTTACATTAAGTAACTCACTGAATACTTTCTTGGTCTTTATCAGTATAGACCAAAATTGTGTTGGCTATTTCTATCATCATATTTTACCGTACTGCTACATTGTTTCATGAGAGTTCTAATTATTTTTTGAACCACATGGCACCTGTCCAGCCAGTCTATAAAAGTAAAGTGTTACTCAGAATATTCTCCTTAGATACTGACGGAACTAACAGTCTAGATACTGATACTGATGAGACTATTGGATACAGAGACTAACAGAATGAGCATGTACTCACCTCACTTCATGTCCCCATAGAAATAAGGTTTATTACAGCCTTTTCCAGTTATATCTTAGAGGAAGAGTACTTGTGCTGGTGTAGTAAGAGTGTCTCACATCTCAGATGAAAATGATCTGCAGAATCTTTGTTGCTGCAATTAACATCTGCTAAAGAATGCACATTTTGTAATTTCTGATAAAGAAAATAAATTATATTTTAGTCTGAATTCTTGGTTTGATATCTATGGTGAGAATGTATATTGCATTTTTTGACATAAATTTCCTTTTTCGACTAATCTACATTTGTGCTACTATTTTTTAATTTAAATAAATATTAAGGAATTAATGTTCTCATTTTAAGAGGACAGTCCTCATCCATCTTCTACTGTTCATGCATACCATATATTAGAATAGACTTAAGCTATGGTAAATTCACTGCTAAATTATTTCCAGTTGTATAATTGACTTATGGAAAGATGATTGACTTGAAGTTACTGGCTGAAAAACATCCCTCATTTCCTAGATGAATAGAAACACTTAAACTAATAGCATAATGGCAAAAACTAGTTTGACACCAACTATTAAAGAATGACTTTGGTTCCAAGATTTTTCAATGCCTCTATTTTGTATATACTATTTTATATATACTTTATTTATATTTACCCTATATTATATTACATTTAATCTATATTTTACTTACTTTATATATACTCTATGTATACCTCTTTTATAAATACTGAATAATTGACTTGCCTTTATTATACTGTTTGACTTTCTAAATATACTTTGATTAATTATATATATTCTTTAATTCAATGGATATTATGGTTTCTCCACTTTTCATGCATTTCTCCAGAAAGGGAAATTTTTTAAAATTCAGATTTCTTCACAGTAAAGTTAAATGCGGATATCAGTTTCTGAAAAAAGGTTGGCACACCCCGCCTGCTCACTGGCTTCTGACTCTTGTCCTGGTTCCATTGCTGGTACCTCCTGTTCCTGGTCTTTGGGAGTAACATTCTGTACTCAGAACAGGGAAGTTTCTATGCTGCTAGTTTATTAGACACATACCCATTTAAAATTCTTAGATATCTGCCGTATGGCCAAGATTTGTTCCTCCCCCACTTCCCTCTCTCCCTCCCCACTTCAGTTCCCTCTCTTCCCCCTTCCCATCCCTTTCTCTGCCAGCTCCTCACCCTTTACCCTCTTCCTCTTCCTTCCCCTCTCCCTCTCTCCCTTCTCTCCCCCTTGTTCCCCTTTCCATCCCCTCCCCTCCCCTCCTCTCCTCTCTCTTCCTCCCTCCCTTTTCTCCCTTCCTTCCTTCCTTCCTTCCTTCCTTCCTTCCTTCCTTCCTTCCTTCCTTCCTTATTTCCTTCCTTCCTTCCCTCCTTCCAGCATTAAGACAGTTTGATTTGCCTCCAGTCTACCTTTAGCCATGATACTATTGGTCACTCCCTATTTTTAAAACCACAAAATAATTATTTTCTCTTGTTTATTTTTTTCCTGCCCTGTCCTCTTCACAATGAGCAGCTTGCTTGCTAAAACTTTTTAATTCACCCAGAAACTAATCTGACTGGCCCTAGCTATTCCAAGGTTGATATGAGTAAATTATTTAATTTCAGAATTTTTTCTAATAGAATATGGTTAGGAGTAGTCAGAAGAGAATCTATTTCATATCCAGTAGAATACTGATTTATAATGTTCTGAATGCCATGTGAGAAATAGCAGCCTATTGGACTTCTGATTTTCTAGAGTAGTAATCTGAAAAGGATCACTACTATAAACATGGCAATTGATTTGGTTTGGTAATGGTTGAATTATCAGATTATTTAGTATAAACATTAAATTATGTCACTGATTTATGTGTCTCTCCTTTTTCTTCCCTTTCTGCCTCTCTGTCTCCATCTCTCTCATATACACACATGACATGCATAAACACACAGACGCATTTATTCATTAGATGTTTTCTTTGTGAGATTGCCTATAGCTGTATCAATTCTTCCTATATTGATACTCTCAGTACCTTTCAAAATACTCCTTCTGAATTTATATTTATTACTTATTGAGTATCTATTTTAAATTGGATATTGCTCTAAGTATTATGATAAATAAATAACTATATGCATTATTTCCAGAAGCTTTTTTTGAACAATGGTTCTCATTATGTCAGACATGTGAAGAACACAAGTACAATTCATATGTGTAAAATGTGGAACCTACATTCAAGACCCTGGCAACATAATTGAAAAGCCATAACATTTATGCAGATATTCATCCACCTTTCTTTTATGGAGCACAAATGAGTCTGTTTAAAAAATATTGTAAAATTGTTGTTAATAAATTACACAAACAGAACTTGATAAACACATAGTACCACAAGGCTAATTACAAACATCATCACCCCTCCGATCCATTCCTCTTCATCGTAATATTCTTCTACAAGCTTATTCTTCCCCCTATGGCTTTGCGACAATGTTGATTCAGTTAGTACTGAGGCTTTACCTTATTGGAATTAACTGATGAGTTGTATTCTGGTAACATTTCTTTTTCATATTCCCCAACAGAAACATACCTTCTCCCTACACATTAAAACACTTCAATTATTGTAGCAGTTCCATGACTTTCCTAGAAAGATTTCTGAGAGCCTTCTGGCTCCTTGCTCCCTCCTGGACCCCTGCTCAAGCCTGATGGGTGCACAGTCTTCATCCTGGGACCTTCCTTTGACTTTCTGCTCTTCTGGATTTTGTTTGATTCCACTGTGGTTCTTTTCCTTTGTTTACTCTCTTGTTGTGGTGACATAGACCGAACAATAGCTTCTGGGACAAAGGATGAAGTGAGATATTTTCAAAAACCTTGCATGCACAAGATGTATTATTTTGCTCTCGTGTTTACTTGACAGTTTGGAAGCTTGACAGCCATGCACACTCAGAAGTTCAAGAATCGCCTTAGCAGCTCTGAGATGTGCGTGATATGGTTGAGAAGTCCAGGATCATTTGGCTTCTTGATGCTTTTTATATTATCTGATTTCTTTTTGGGAAGTCTCTTGAATCATTTTTTTCCACCATTTTTTTCCCCCTGAAATTGCATTTTGATGTGATTTGGGTCATTTATCATTCATTATGCTTGGTACTTAGCAAACTCTCTCTAAAAAGATTACCTTAACAGTTCTCTTTAAATCACTGTACCAAAACTTTGCATCCCTGGAAAGTGCACTATGAGATGGAGATGAACCTGCCCTAGGCAAGGATCCTCCTGTGTGAACGTTTAGTTTCTGCGTGTGAGGGCGGGTCTTCAAGACCGGAAGGCTTCTCTGCAGAAATGCAGAGAGAACTGGTCTCTGTCACCAAGAGACTGTCAAAGGTCAGCCTCTCTGTTGTTATTGGGTGCTGCTGAGCTTTCCCAGGCAAGACTATTTCAAACAGTTGCTAAGCGATATTGGCCTAACAGTGGGTATCTGTGCAACGGAGTAACTTTAGAAGGTTGAGGGTGTTCGCTGGAACACGACCTTCCAAAATTGTTCCCCCTCCGGACAGTCTTCTGTGCCCAACCAGCTCAAATCCTGACACTTTTGGTTTTTCTCCGGTACCGGGAACCGAACTCAGGACCTTGCGCTTGCCAGGCAGGCGCTTTGCCGCTGAGCTAAATCCCCAGCCCCTAAATCCTGACACTTTTGGATTCAACTTTTCCATGAAGGCGGGCACAGACTTCTGGGAAGGGGCGGAGCTTATAAACACGGGAAGACTGAATTCCCTTTTACCTCACACTGAGGTATCTTCTCCGCGCTCCTGCTGCATGATCCTGCTTGCCTCTCACTGGTATCAGTTACCTTCTAATAATTTGTTGGGATGTCTGTATCACCTCACACCTGCTTGTCTTCCTCTTTATGGTCCATGGGTTTGTTTCTCTTTTCTCTGATTCGAGGTTTTCTGGAAAGAGCGTAGAAAATAATTCTCACGTATTTAATCTTCCCTGTTTCTCCAGCAGTTCTTACTGTTTGTGTGAAATGTAAAATCCTAAGGAGATGATAGGAAAAACCGTTGTTTTTGGCTAAGGGACATGAATGGGTCAAGGAGACTTTATGTAAATAATAATATTTTCTTAAAGAGTATGCAAAACACTGGGCATATAGCTGCTTAAAAATTTTTAGTACAGATTGTCTAGTCTGTAGTAGTACTGAAGTGTGGAATTTCTTCTGGCAAGACGGACTATAGATTTCTTTGGTATTTTCTGAAAGTGGTTCTTTTTTGCTCTTGCTTTATTCTCTTGAGTTAAAAATGGAAAAGGAAAAGAAAATATATAGTGGCTAGGATTAGATTAGCCTTTCTTTTCATCTCCATTTTCTCTGTCGCACACAGAATTAGAGCACTGAGGGGAGAAGGTGCTTAACAAATAGTACTTGTTTCTGCCGCTGATGCCATCATTAATCTAATAGGGCTGCTCAAAGTTCTGTGCTGTTCCATTTAGTAATGTCAAAATAACCTTGTTAAAGAAAAATGCTGAACTTGACCTTCAAAACCCATGTCCTCTCCTTTATTTATTATTAAATTTACCTTTTAAGATCAAGTAAATAAAAGTTATCCTTAAAAAAAAACTTGACTCTGTTTATTTGCTCATTCAGATTTTGGGAGAAACTCTTCTAGGTATCAATTCTTCTAGCATGACATGTCAGGACATGTGATTACCTTATCCATAATTACACATTAAGTACATGTAAATGACTTGTGAGTTCCTACAGAAGAGGAAGTTACACTTTGTTGTCTTCCAAATGCTTTTGGTCGCATCATTACAAGAAAAAGTGTAATCTGGCAATTAATGATTTTGAACATGATCTCATAATTTGTTCTTGGCAATGGAGGTCTGCCTATCACTAGACATTTCTTAAAAACTAAAGAGAATAGTGGAGATGGCAAGAGGAAATGACCCAACATGGCTTCCTACCTCTGCGTGTCCCTGGAATTACCCCTTCAACTCTGGGCAGTAATCTGAAGGCATTTTCTTGGCTTTCATTCTCTGTGGAGTCTACGTTAGTAAGTGACTGAGAGAAACTTTTTGAAATTTCCTATTCTCATTCCCTCAGTTGGTGCTCTGTCCCCTTTACTGGACTGGCCTTCCTGCGTACCGGTGTGCATGTGTGTTTGTTGCACCATCACAGTTTCCTTGACGGATGTGCATCTAAATGTGTCTCCTCATTCTCTGCTCCTTCAATCCATGCTGCCATTCTTGTTTTCCTGTTATTCTAATGAATGTGTCATTTAGACCTGACACTTCATTCATCTCTGGTTGTCTCTCTGCAAGTCCTTCCACATAAACACCTTGCTGTTGGTTTCCCCAGCATATTTTTCTTACCTCTGTTATTATCACTGCTATTATCCATCATTCCTTTTTTCTTGTCTTCCCTAAACATTATTCAGCATCTATTTTTCTAGGCTTCATGCAATAAAAAAAATCTATTCAACCAACTAACCAGTCAATCACTCAGTCAATAAATTTTTAACAAGTGTCCCTCTGAGAAGCCATCATCGAATGGGAAAATAGTGTAATAATTTATCTATCTCATAAAAACCATCCATAAGTCCAGTTTCATTCAGAGAAATGTATGCATCATCTTAAGATTCTGAGGCTGGATGCCTTTAATGATCTTATTTCAGTTTACCTTCTTGCCTTGTCTCCTACTTTTTTGTATACACACCCTTGATAGAGAGATAGCTCTATTGTATCAGAATTCACTTATTGCACACTATACTTTGGGTTTCTCACCTCTGAGTCTTTGCATTGGGTTCTTTGTCTGAGATGACCTTTCTTCTTTCAGTTGATCTAAATTTTGCTTTGCATAGTGCATGGTCTACCTCACATAGAGACCACATGGTTGGCTGCTGTAACACACCTTTCAGTTTGAATAATTTTTGGGGGTGGGGAGGCATATGCCATGACTGACCAAAGACAAGTCCTCTCTCAACCTACTTTCTTTCACACAATCCTGTTTTTATAATAACACCCACTATCACTCTAATGCTACATTTCCCCAGTCATTCTCTCTCCTCTAGAATGTAAGTTCCGTGAATGGAGACTGTGGTACTCACATCTGCATATCTACCAGAAATTGGTACTCAGCACTTATTTCCTGAATAAATAAATGAATACTACTACTTAGTGAGTATATCTCTAAACATTTTTATCATTATGCATGATTACTAATTTAATATTCACAAACTTATATTATATATATTATACAATTAGCACCATTTATAGCTCTAGTAATTAAGTCAGAAGACCATAGTCACTCAGATCCTAAATAGCAGAGTGGGGAATCTGACCCCAGAACACATAAGCTGCATTTATCTTTTATCCAAAACCCTCAAATAAATGGTAAAATAATGAAATTCCCCAATAAGTATTAAAAACATATACTTGTTTCTTCAGATTTAGAGTAAATTGACAAGTTAGGAAACTGAATCCCTTTTTTTTTTTGTTTTTTTGTTTTTTTGTTTTTCTTCCAGTACCAGGAATCGAACTCACAACCTTATGCTTGCTAGGCAAGTGCTGTGCTGCTGAGCTAAATCCCCAGCCCCCTGAATCCCTTTTTTGGGGGTCTCCAGTAGTGTTTAGAACTATCTGGTTTGAAACAGGCACGGTTCATCAATAAGCGTGATGTCACAAATTAAACCCAGTGACACCCTTTGGAGTTGTTGAAATGGAAGATAACTTGATAATAAAGGGAGAAAAAAAATCAAGTCATTAAAGGATGAGTGGGGAGAGATGTGGAACTAGATATTGTGTTTTCCCTGATGAGTCTCTTGCCCTCTGCCCAACACACAAGCAACACCAGAAATTACAATGAAGAAGCATCAATGTTTCACATGTTTTCATGAAGCTGGAATCTATTTATGTATCACTAACCTTAAAGTGCTTAGGTCCTGGGAAGTGGTAAATAAACAATGGTTTATACTGCTTCTATATCTTTTCCAGGGATATCATAAGATCAGTTTTCTTAAGCTATTTAGATGTTTCCGTTTATATCCCCAACCAGGAAAAACTATAACTCTGATGAACGACTCTCTTTACCACGCCAGACACCTCATTTCCTGCCTTGAAAAATTTGGATTAGCATCAAAACTGTCCCTGGAGGCAAAAAAATATATATAGCAACACACTAAATGAAGGCCATTTTGAACTGTGATTGTAACATGTTAGAAAAATATCCTGTATTGATTTTGTGCAGTTTGATCTGATACTGCTCTATGGTTTCCCCATTTTAAAACAATTAAAGCAATATTTTAGGTTTTGTGGATTTGAAGTTTAAAGTAAATTAAGCAATTCAAGGGAAAGTTGGTCTGTGCACTCAAAAATAACAAATCAATGAATTTTGACAGTGATTTTGGAATGGGTTTTTGTTGAAATTATTAAAGGTTATTATAAGCAGCACGGAGGTAAAGACAGCATTTGTGTCTATGAAATTTACTTGTGCCAGCAGATGATTTCATCTCACTTTAACCTGTCATAGTAGCGTCTCTGTAGAGTCACCCTAGCACTGAACATCCACTGATGCTTCAAATGGGAGAAACCCAAACTGTGATGAGTCTGAGACAGAATGGGTTAAAAATGGAGCTGAAGCCCTGTGCCACAGATGTCCCCAGGACCTGCTGATTTGGTCCACTGCCTTTTCTTGCCTAAAGCAGGGTTTCCATTTTCACTCTTAAACTCCTTTGTAGGCCAGTCTGTGCATCAAATCCCCTGAGTGATGCTGCAAACACTTTCTGCTAGAGTATCCCTTCTTTTCCCCCCAGTTTTGCTCAGGAAGCCCATATCAGTAAGATGTTATTACATAGCTGTCATTTCTGTCCTGCAACAAATCTCAGTATAGCAGTGTCCTGTGGCTGCAGATGCTGTTAATGTTTTCCCCGCTCTGTCAATTGATTTCAAGGCTGCCTCCCCATCAAGCCGTGTGCTTCTTCAAAAGGTACATAAGCTGGACTGAAGGAAAGGATCATAAAAGTATCTGACAATCTCACATCATCTTCACACAACTTGTCATTGCTGTCTAAACTCTTCTCATGTGGATCTCTTTGTAACAGTTTTCCCAACTCTCCAGTTAACCCCCCCCCTCTTTTCCCAGTATGTGAAGGTTTGAACTGACTTTAGGAAACCATCTGGTTATCTTGCAGCCTCTAGGAATATCCCACTTATTTATTTAAATTTATATTCATATTTTGATACACTGATACGTAAATATTGTGTTTCTTATGGAGCACCATATGATGTTTTGATACATCTCATCCAACATTTATCATTTCTTTATGGTGAAAACATTAAAAAAAATCTTGTCTTCTAGATTGTTGAAGTACACAGTGTTTTATCATTATCCATA